CAGGAGTAGAAACAAAAACAAACAAAGAAAAGCACCAGCAGCAGTAGCAGCGGCAGCAGCAAAGCAACAGCGATAGCAATAGCAGCACCAACGGCAACAGCAACAGCAGCAGCAACGGCAACAGCAGCAGCAACAGCAGCAGCAACAGCAGCAGCAACAGCAATAGCGCAGCAACAGCGAGAGCGGCAGCCACAGCCACCACAACCCAACCGCCACCCCTACCTCCACCACTACCATTACCACTGCCACGGCCAGAACCACAACCACAACCACAACCGCAGCAGCAGTGACGACGACAACGACAATAGCAAAAACGACAAAAACAACAACCACGACCGCTACTATCAAGTGCAAACACGTGCCAAACAAGCATGGAAAGTCAGGTAACGCGGCCAAACCGTCTCCCCAAGGGCGAGCGTCACAGTCCCAAAGCAATTGACAAGCGAGGGCACGTAAGCACAAACTCTCGGATCGCGGGTCAATGAATCGTGATGGTGGCTGCATGATGATCACTGTGCACCCTGGTCCAGGATCCATCCCATCCTTTCCACGGTGCTTTTGGAGTGCCAGCATATGCCCCCTAACATCCCTTGTAAAGAGCAACTAAATTTGAAGTTTGCCAAACGGGTCAGAAGGCATTGAACTCGTTCGCGCCTCGCCCAGGCGCAGGCGCCGCAGCGCCTCCGCCAGCGATGGCGGCAGCTGCTCGAAGGGCCTGAAACCCGTGAGCCAAGGAAGCCCAAAGTGGCCTGAAGGCCAACCCTCGAAAAGGCGCGGGTCTAAAACGAGCCCTGGACAAGCACCTTGGCGGAAGTATCCCGCGGTTGAATTGAAGACGAGGTTAGGACTTGGAGTCTAGTTTAGGTGTGTGCATCACTAGCTAGTTGTGGTCTCCAGCTCGCTGGACCATGGTGTTCGGCCCGGGCCACAAAGTTGAAGCCGATAGGTTCAACCCTCTCATGAGGATGGTTACTCTGAAAAGCCTGGAGAAAGCTTTCCATGTAGTTGAGTCGTTGCCATGTTTCTAGCCAAGGCTATGCACCAAGGCTTGTCTTGGACAGGATGCTGACTCTCTTGGGGATTCGTGGGGACTCAACGTGACCGGCGCGTGACACAGGTCACATGTGTGGCTGAGCAACCGAACAGCAAAAAGAACATGAAACCAGGGTTCCACTTTTAGACTACCTCAGGGTCGACTTGAACAGAGGGCTGGTTCATTCCCCCCCAAAGGGAGGTTCCCTGGGTTTGAGGCTATCTTTGGGTAGTCAAAAAGTGGAACCCTGCATGAAAGACGTGTTCCGCCCCAAACTTGCTTGACCCACCTGGAGCTGGTCCTTCGCCGTCGTCTGCTGAAGGCCAACTCCTGGCCGAGGTCATGGCAAATTCAGGGACCGAATCCAGTTCTTGGAGCTGCAAAAAGAAACGTTGAGAATCAAAAGGAAGAAACCGGGGGGATGGAGGAAGGTTTGTGGAGCGAAGACTTGCGCATGGCAGACCGGTCAAAGCAATCTGCCCACATCCGCGAGAGCAAAGTCCCCGCCAGCGGGGACTCCCCGCTTCTTTGTCTGCCCAACATTCGAGAACCACCCCAAAAAGGGCTTCCAAGACCGAAACAAACACACACGCGCACACAGACACAGAGACACACACACACACACACAGAGAGAGGGTTCAAAGGCATCCGTTTGACGCAAATAGACGGCTGTGGCAAAGCGTTGGAAAAACCAGCGGCATTCGTCGATCTTCAGCCAAACTTAAACGACAAGGGACATATTGAAAGGTTCCTTTGTGATCCTTGAGCAGGGCGACACTTACTTGCCACGTGCGGGGGGGGGGGGCAGAAGCACACCTTGTTCGGGAGTTCATCTGAAAGGAAGATTCAGGGATCCAATTGTTCTAGTGAGTGGATAACTTTGGATAACCCAGGAAAGTCACAAACAACTGCCATTCCTTTAGATCTCATAGACTCGGAATATGGAGCAGCGTTCAAGCGCTCAGCTGTCACCAACTATCTGTTGCCATGAAGCCGAAGTTGCTACACGGGCGTGTCCCACGTTGCCAGCCTCCTGTGGCAAGGTCTTTGCCATGCCCTGGGAAGATGGGCTGAAGAGCCGCGCCAGAAGCAGAAGCTCCCTGCCGTTCGGCCGGAAGCCCGGAAGCGAAAAGCCGTGAACCCACAAGGGCCCAAACGAGCCCAAGAGAGCCACCTGCGTGCCGCCTGCGTGCCTGCGTGCCTGCGTGCCTGCGTGCCTGCGTGCCTGCGTGCCTGCGTGCCTGCGTGCCTGTGTGCCGGCTTGCCAAACGACCGACGAAGGCCCCGCGCAGCCTGCTGTACTGCCGCGGCGCCTGGCAGAACAACTGGCGACAAGACAGGCATGGCCAAGAAAAGCAGCAAAGAAAAACGGAAGAAATCAAAAAGAGAATGAGGAAAAAGAGAAGGGGTAAGAAATTGAGTGCTTGCCACTTGTAAACAAGACTTGATTCGCCAGATGCCCGAAACCGCAAAGAGAAGCTACAAAACACTGCATATTCTCTCAAGTGCATGAAGCAAAACCTGTCACGGTTGTCCTTTTTTGCGTGCAAGTCATTGAGCCATTGCTCAACTATGTATGTCAAAGATCAAGATCTGTCCAGTCACTTGCAAATATTCTGACACCAGCTCTGCAGGTGTCTCATCGCGGGGGTCATCAAACTCCCCCCCCCCCCCCCCGGAATGTCGAGTAAGGGTGGCTCCTGCATGTCCTGCACTGGTGGCATCTGCAGCTCTGGCGGCGGCAGCGGCAACTGTACCTGCATCGCGCAAACTGTTGACAAGCGAGTTCTGACAGATTGCCGTTACACGACCCCCTTGTTGAAGGTCGAGTTCCGCAACCAGGCAAACTGGCTCGGTTGGTCGGAGCCCTCCCCTGAATGCCCTTGACGGTCACATTTTCATGAGTGCAATCAACAACTTGCAGCCCCTCGGTGGTCAGGGGACGGGCGGCAGCCCGGCAGCCGAGCACAACGAAACAGGGTGCCATCACCCAGGCTGCATGCAGACTGGGGCCAAAGTGACTGGTGCCACAGGCCTCCCCTTATAAATGCGGAAGGAACAAAGCAAAGTAGATGCCAAGTGTGACGACGAACTGCGAGGCGTAATGACCGAAACGCTTCTGCAAGCTGCAAACTCGCTTCAATCCCTTCGCTTGAAATTCCAGTTTGTTGTTGACACAAAGAGAAAAAATGAACAGGTCACAAATCCTTGCACCAGCTTCCCTGAATCCCACAGCTCTGCTGGCGCACATCCTGCATGCCTGAATCGAACTGCACGCACTCTCACTTGCAAAGAACAAATCTCTATCATTCTACAAAGTCAGACACGTGCATTGGATCCAATCCTGGGATCCCAGCCATCCGCCGGCTCCTCTGCTTGACCGGCAGCTCCGCCCTCAAGGCAGCGAGGCTGGTCATGCAAGGGCCTAAAAAACATCTGAATGCTGGCTAAAAAATAACACATTCAAACATCTGACCTAGCGCTTGCGCTGTGAAGTCAGCGAATCTCTTCCCGCCATGCCCCAAAGTCAAGCCTCGTGGCTGAGGGCTCCGATCTGGCACGGGCAGGCAGCGCAAGGCACAAAGGACGATGTCAAGACTTCATGGCCGGCTTGAACAGCCTGCATGGCCTGAACGACCCGTGTGACCTCCCCTCCCAGTTTGAGGGCTCATGTCTATGTCCGGCTATTCACGTCTGACAACTTCCCAAAGAAACAACACACCCTCATTGCACCATCCTCTCGAGGGAATTGTCCCCGTGTCTTCCCTGCTTCCCCCGCACCGCTGCCAAGGTCTCCAGGACCGGCTGGTAGGTGGGGACCAGACCTGGCCAGGTCACACAGATTCCAAAGACTTGAATCAAGCCCTTGTCTGATTTCTTGGTGAAGCTGTAACTTGAGCATTAAGCTAGAATACAAAGGCAGGGTAGTGAAAATGCCTGAACTACCTGATTGAGACTGAAACTAAGGACTGAAACTGTCAATGCTGTTGGTCAGGTGAGTCAGGTGTTATGCAGCAGCAAACCGAACCCTGTCTGTATTGCCCGTGAGAACCTTTGCAGCCATTGTCAATCAAAGCCCATGTCACGCCGTGCCTGGCGGACCTCTCATCGAACATGCCTGGGCTGCATTGCTGAGCTGGATGGCACCCGTCGTCCCTTTTGGCATAGGGGCTCTGTGCAAATTGGTCACACGGAAAGCAACACAATGTACAGCTGATTGCTACTCAGACCTTGCATGCAACCACGCTGCGAATCTGGGCAGCGGCGGCATCTTGTTGCCACTAGCCACTACCTAGCCAGCTGAAAAAACGTGCATCACCAGTGCGATGCATGTCCGCAGCAGGCGTATCAGGCACCCATAGTCAATTCAAAAGGCCACGCAGTGTGGGCCAAGGATGTGGAACCGTGGAACTTCTCTTTGCAGCTTCAACCAGTCAGAGCCGGTCCGGAGAGCGCCTGAGTCACACAGGCCGTGGCCATCCCAGGCGGTCGGGATGAATCCGCTGCTTCCCGCGCCACTCTTGCGGAAGCGGGAAATGGGTAAAATGGGACGCAGAACCCGTTTGACAGTGAGTGCTAAACAAGGCACAGCGGCCATCTCGATGACATTCGCACATATCCTAGGCTTCATCTAATGACATATAAAATCATGGTCAACACAAGTGCAACAGAAACTGCGAAGTCTGGCTGCCCTGGTGCCCCGATTTCAACAAGCTCACATTCAGTGATACAAGCTGGCAACGTCCTCCTTATGAGCCAGACTCGGCGAGCACAACTTGCATCTCAGCGCATGGGAACACCCTGTGCCTCAAAGCCCCTCAACGATCACTATGAAGCCCCTTGCGCGAAGGTCCTGTGCGAAGGACCTGAATCATCCTCTTCCAAGCCATTGAGAGAAGTGCTGAATTTGGAACTTTGTGCTTGGGCCCATTGGAGACAAACGTGCCAGAACCCCGACCCATGGCACCTCGCTCTTGGCCAGCTCCGGAGTGTCTGGGGTCTCCGGGGTGTCTGGGAGGCCCATTCGCACAGGGCTCGCTTCCCTGCACAGAACGTGCCGAATGCTTGAGTGGTTGGTCCGCGAGCAACTTGAATGCTGAAATCATGCAAGATCCCTTGCGCCTCAGCGTCGTGAAGGACCTAGGCCAAATGATCAAGCAATACAGTCGTCCACGAGGTCCAACGGCTTGTGGCGGGTTGTCAGAAGGGTTTCACATCATGTCTTGTTTCTGACATTCCAGAACTCAGCCGGACATTGCAGTTGAAACAGCAAATGAACCCTGATGTCAGAAAGTGTGACCTCAGCAACTGCGTACCCCGCGGTGTCCAGCCAATCTCCTGTCGAGCACAGTGTCAAAGCCGAGATCTTTTGATCTTGCAAGGCATTCCTTCATAAGTGGTCGCGACGGCACGCAGTCTCAAGTAGACCAATTTGTATGCAACGAAGGCCAAGTCTCGCCAGGGTCAAAGTTCATGGACAGCATTGAAAATCACAAAGCCTACAAGATTGAATGATCGTTTGATAGCCTGGATTGGAAGCCTGCTGTTTGGCTAGACCACATGTCCTCCAAACACTGTCCCTCCCTTGACGCAAAAGACGAAAACAAACATTGTTTTTCAGGTGACCAAAATCTCTGCAATTCCAGGAAACTTATATGGGTATGGGTCAAAGCCAAACCTCCAGGGGACCGCAGGTTTTAGTCATTGGTTCCATTTACCAGGGTTCCATTTTGGGTACGCATTTTTGACCCACAGCCAGATAACTCCTCACCAACCAGGAGCACAGTGGTAGGATTAACTTGCTAGCTTCCTGGCAGATATGCAACTTCCCGGTTTCCTTGGCCTCGGGTGACTCAGGATGAGACACCTGCGCATCGGCCGCAAACTGACACAGGGTAGAACAAAGCACGGCAACCTGGCAAGTGGAGTACAAAACATGCTGGCCTGCTCTGGTGGCAGAAGCTTCCCAGGCCTCAAGCGGAAACATGCAGAACTCAGCTAATGAAATGCTGAACCTTGGTGCTTTAGCTTTCCCAAGAAAAAGCCTCGCTAGGGGCCCCAGTTTTGTCTCAAGCTCATGGGTCTCAGCTTCAGGTCATCCGCATCATGTCAGGAGCGGGCCAAAGCTTTCCAGGCCGCCATGGTGGAACCTGCCACACCCCCTCCCCCCTCCCCAGCTGGACTCACAATGGGCAATGCGGCAAGGAGTCCGTGGACTCACAAGGCGCCTCCTCTGGAGCAGGTGCTGTGCTGCCTGGCAAAGCGTCTCTCACTCCGTGCCAAACATACCTCCCTCCCACGGAGTTCATGGACATCCGTGTGCAAAATAGACTGGTGGGCCGGCACTAGAAAGTCTGAGCTTGTTGTTTAGGCTCACCTTTTCTCTTTTTGGCTTGTCGGGAACTTGAGGCTGCATATCCCTTCCCGCAAAGCAAAGTGCCAATCGGGCATCGATCTCATGGCATGATTCCAATGCCGGAAAGCCAAGCTGCGCCTGCAAGATTTACTGTGCGGCAAACTGTGTTCGGAGACCTGGGCCAATCCAAAGCTTCTGCACTCACAACTCCGCAAAAAGGCCTTGCACTAAGAATCAGCATTCAACGCCTTTCGCAGTCCTTGCTCCACTTGGCCCATGTGCTACCAAGTTGCGGAGGAAGCTTTGCCGCCGCCAGCTGGGAGAGCGGCAGCTCCGGCGCAGCCGCGGTGTGGGCTTCAGCAGGCACAGGTGGCTCTGCTGGTGCTGCGACCGGGGCTGAAGCTGGGGCTGAAGCTGGGGCTGGTGTGGCAACTGCCTCGGCTGCAGCGACCACAGCGAACGGCTCAGCTGCTGGATCCGCTGGGGACGCTGGGGCAGGAACGGCTGGAGCTGAAGCCACCTCTGGCACAACAGAAGCTCTTGGCACGGCGCGAGCTTCCACCGGCTCCGCTGCTGGAGCTGAGTCGAAGGTTAGTGGCATTGAGGCCAGTTGGGACAACGCTGGAAGCGAGAGGGGGGATGTCCCGTCAAGCAGTGCAGCCGCCGGCGAAGGCGCCGATTGTGCATCTGAGGCTGTGGAAGTGGTGGCTGCCACAGACGAAGCAACTGGCGCAGACACTTCACCTGGGGCTGATCTAGCAGATTGGGCAGCCGCCACCAAAGGGGCTGTCGGGGCATGTGGCATTGACCGCACTGCCCTGACTGCCTGGGCTGCAACTGGCAAAGGATGGTTCGGAGTAGTTGAGGCTGGCAGCCGAACAGCAGGCACAGGCGCCTGGGCAAGCGCCATGCTGTTGTCTAAGTCCCCATGCCTAATGCACCGGCAACCTTGCCACTGAGAGGCTACAGCCAACTCTAGTGCTTCCAGCCGACATCTCCACTTTTGAATCCTTTTGAAGTCCGGTCAACTCCGACAAGACTCGAAAATCGCTCAACGTGAAGCTTAAGAAAATGGTATCCACTTCTCGCTCGGCGAGTCGCGGAGAGATACATTGCCCTTGTCACGGACTTGTGGCCAACAGTGCCAACAGTTCCGGTGGCATTTGTGAACGAAAGCTGCTGAGTCTGTCTGTACATGATTCTGAAAGCAAAGCTCTGAGCACCTGTCTCCAGAGCGTCAGGCTCCGCCCAAACTGTTGCAGCTGTGAAGCATGCCATCTACCCAAGCTCACAAAATCAGCGGCCCCATGACATGCAGCGGAGCGGAGAGCAGTGCCTACCGAACTCGGCTGCTCCGAAGCGGAAAAGCCACAACTTGTTGACATTTGGTTGCCAGTGGTTAAGCCAAGCCAAGCAAAGGAAAAAGTTTAACGCTCTGCGGTGCATGAGAGAAGTGCACACATCACGAGTGGCGATTTCACGCACTCAGTGCCTGACAGCTACATTTGCAAACTAACCTGGGACCTGTTCCCTGCAGGTGTGCTCCGTTGCATTCCGCACTCCGCTTCGCAATGAGTTCGTGTGCTGAAGCTGTGGCTATGCTAAAGCCATGCTGAAGTTGTGCTGAGGCAATGCTGAGGCAAAACGCGGCAAAAAAGCATCGCACGTTCTCCGGTTGCCTATCCACCAGCCACGAGCTCACCGAACTGGTTGCGCCGCGTGGCCCGCTCCTTGGCACCTTGCGCGGCCACGCGGCATGGGAGAAAGTTGGCACATGTCCAGAAGCCACGGAAGGCCAACTTGAGCCCCGGCTTCTTGGCCATTCCAAAAAGTGGTAATCAAAAGGTCGTAATCAAAAGTTGTTCACTGTGTTCCCAATGGCTCAGCCGAGAATCAGCAAAGTAACTGCAAGCACGTACGTCCTCAAACAAGGTCCAGTCTCAAAGTACTCTCTGAAAACTGTTCATTTTGTTGAAATGTTGCGAAACTTCAAATTCTAATCACATGCCAGGATCAACGCTCTCTAAAGCCTCTAAAGCCAAGACACGGTCCCTGGTGCGCGACGGTTGTGGCCGCCGAGCATCGAAGGCGTCATACAGCCTCGCTCTCTCCGCAAAAACGGCCCCGAGCCATAGCCAAAAGAAACGTTTTAGAACGAAGGCTTTGAGGCGTCCAAAATGACAAGCTCTGCAAATGACAAGTGGCGCTTCAAACTTCTTGGCCTCCTCATAAATGAGGCCAGAGTGGACACCTAGCCGGCCATGACTTGGAAAGCACCGGCTCCCAAGCTCCCGAAGTCCATAGCCTGGCCTCCAAGTATCAACCCCAAACAACAAGATTTTAATCCTCGGGGCACGGGCAAACTCGGTTAGCCCCGGTGCAGGTAAAGGTGGCTCACATGGATCGTCAATCAACATAAAAACTGGAGCCGGCCTTTGGTGGTGCCTAGATTTCGGCGGATCGCACTGCGTGGATCGTCCGCAGTCATCATGAGGGTGATATTGTCCTCCACAAATGTTGCGCGCTTGCTATATCTGCACGTGAAATACAGCATGACACATGTATCTTCTGGCTGTGAAATACTCACTTGAGGTCCTCATCATTCTCGCGGATATCATCCCGCACGTCCAAATGCAGAACTTGTCCATTTGCAAGGCGGATAACCTCGTTGCCGTCCTTCTTCTGCTCTCTCTCTCTCTCTCTCTCTCTCCCCCGAAATGCAGGTGGGATTTCTTTGCAGCGCGAAACATCCCGGGTCCTTGTCCACATATTGGGGGAAGCGCTTGCGAACCAAAATGACGTTCCTTGGATCTTTCACATGCGTGCTGTGCTTTCTGACCAACCGGGGTGGAGAGTTGGATATGGCGTCTAAGCTACTTGCATCAAGCAGCCAACCCGTGTCGCCCGCGTGACAAATACATGAGGTTCCAAAGGAGCAATCAAAACGCTGACAGGTGCCATGCCCGGCCTCTGATGTGCGAGCCTCGCAGCAACCAGGTCCTCACACGCCATGCCCATCAAGTTGGGCACAACACACCAACCGTCAATGTTGAAAAGTGTCTGCTTGCAACCTGTGTATGAGAACTAAAACACGTGGTCATTGCCACAGTGAATCGTATCCAATGGTCCAATACCATCGGTGCGCCTCAATGACCCGCTGCCAGTACTTGCCATTCACCAGCACCTGCGCCGAGATCCGTGTGCCCGCCGGCGCCTCCTGCGAGGGCAGGTCTTGCCGTGCTTTGGGCAGTCGGTGGGACAGGTTGGGACCAAGGAGCAGGTTGAAAAGGACGTAGGACACTTTGTAGTGATTGATTGCTCTGACAATGCAACCAGTTGGTTTGTAATCCAACGAATCAAAAGGTCAAGCAAGCAATGCCTTGCTGGACAAAGGCCTCTTTCGGAGACCATTGCTTTCTCCATATGAAATAGAAAAGACAAAAAGAAACGAATAGATTGCTTTCCATGAAACGACGCCACCTCAGCTCTTTCCCCTCCCCTGAGCTCCCAGGGGCAGTGGATGTACTCTGGGGGCAAATGCCGCAGCTCGGGCAGCCAGCGGCGCACGAAATTTCCCTCCGGGTCCACCTGATGTCCGCGGAATTCGTGCGCCGATGTTGGTCAAACCGTTTGGACATCAAACCGAACGTTGCGATTCGCCTCCCAATTCATCACCATACCCTCACATATGTGTTCAAAGCCAGGGCAACGGGGAACGCAGCTGCCACCAATCCGCCTTCTTTCCCGCATAAATCGGATGCATAACGAAATTCCAGGAACCAATGCCCGAGTGCCCGCCTTAGTTTGCGACCAATCTTGTGGTGGTGTGTGCGTGGTCCAATCGTGGAATGCGCATAAAATGAAGTTGCGTGCTGTAGAGCCAGTTCGCCATGAATTTGCCTGCTCAAGATCTCAAATTGCCGTGAAAGTGGCCCATCTGCCACATCATCGCGTTGATGGCGACATCCGTGTCAACCAAGGTGTAGTCGTACCAGGCAAAACCTGTAAAAATCGGGGCAAAACAATATTCATGCCGGGGAATTCGTGGAACTGCCGCAGGTGCAAGCCAGGAGGCCATCCTTCCAGCTGAGGTCCAAATGCTCGATGAGGAACTGGGCCGTCACGTGCCGGAGGTGGTTGCACATCCAGCCAACCTGACAAAGCTCGCCAACCCCTTGCATGCAGGCACAATGAATGCAGTTTGGCTTCAGAACATCTGCAATATAACCACGAAAACCAATGAATTGAACAGCAAAGTCAGCCGCCTTCCAAAGCTGGCGCATGGCTGCATCCACCAGGGGGAAACCCGTCTCCCCCCGCTGCCAGCGCCGCAACTGCCGCCGGGTCCCGGCCCAGGTCTCCTGCTCGTAGTGCGGGCGGATGCTCACCTCAGCGAGAACCCGTCCAAGTCGCTGTCCTTTGCCTTCAGCTTAAGTCAACCCCGAAAAGGGGAACCTCGAAGAAAAGACACGCCCCTGGTTGCCCCTCCAAAGCCGTGTTGGAGTCGCGGAATTCGAAACCACTGCAAGCTGGTTTCTGTGAACTGCGAGCTTCTGAAAATGGTTGGATCTCAATACATGTATACAACGTATTAACAATTCAGCTAAAGTTATGCGTATATTTGCCACGCTACGCATGTTTGATAAACTTCCGAGCTGAAGCTTGCTTGTAGTAGTATGTATTCGTGGCATGTACTACATATCTTGGCCGCAAGCATGATGTAACTTGATTGTAGTGATACATGGCAAAGAGCACTCAAATTTGTATGTTCTGCCTTTAATAAAATAAAGAATACCTTGCAAAGCAACCGTTTGATTGTTGTGTGTTCTTTGTTTTCGTTGTTTTTTTCCAATTGTTGTCGCTGTTTATTTTCGAGATGTTTTTCGTTTCTATTCCCGAAAGCAGCGGGAAGGGCACTTCCGTAAGCAGCCCTTGGACCAACTTGCGCAAAGCAACTCGCGCAGAGCCACTTGCGCAGTCAATTGCGTAGAGCTATTTGCGGAGAACTAACTTGCACAAAAAATATTGCACAAAGCAGCTTGCCCAACTTGAGCAGAGCTACTTGCACAGAGCCATCTACTTGCGCAGAGCAACTTGCACAGCGAGCAGTTTGGGAGTAGTCGGGGTATAGCCTGTCATGAGTCTGGGCATGAGTATTGTGGGGGGTGCGAGTAGTCTGCGGAAAGAACTGGGGAAGAGGCTGGGCACCTTAGGTCTCTCTCTTGGGTAGAGAGCTCAGCAGCTATGTAACTTTTGGTGAAGCTTTGAAAGAGAAGATTCTTGATAAACATATTCTTCTGGGGGTATGGGTGTGTCATCTGGCTGGATTGCGACCCTCTGTGGGGATCGCCGTGGAATCCCCAGAAACTCTGCGGAGATCGGCGCGGTCGGTGTGCAAAAACTGTAGAGTCGCTCTCGCTGGCCTCTAAGTACAGAAGTAAGACGCGAAGCGTTTTCCCGCAGCTCCATCCGGGAAATCGCCACCTTCAAGTACAAAAGTAGCGAAGTGCTTTCGTACCCAGCTGAGCTCGAAAATCGCAGCTTTCCCGCTGACAATCGCAACTTGCGCAAACAAACTTGCACGGAGCACTCACGGAGAGCGACGTGCAGACTTTCACTGAGCAACTTGCGCGGAGCACTCGCGCAACGACACTCGCGCTGAGACACCTGCGCAGAGTAATTTGCACAGAGCACTGCGCGCTGAGCCATGGGCGCAGAGCAACTCGCAAAGGGCCATTGCGTGGGCAACGTCCGTAGAGCAACCACTTGCGCAGAGCACTTACAAAGAGCAACTTGCAAAGAACATCTTGCACACAGAATGTGCGCGGGGCAGCTTGCGTAAAATGACACGCGCAGAGCACTCGCAGAGATCGAAGCGCAGACTTGCGTACAGCAACTTGCGCAGAGCACAAACTCACAGACAGTGCCACAACAACAGCACTCGAAAAGAGCTACCTGCGCAGAGAAGCTGCACAAGGCAACTGCAAAGAGCAATTTGCATGTAGAAACTTGCGGGCAGCATCTTGCAGCGCGACACTGCGCAATCTACTTGCAACGCTGCGCAGAGCCAAGTCTGCAGAGTATTTATTTAGTTCATTGTTTGAAACACTCTCATTGTTATGGAGCAGATGAGGATCGGGGACTTGACAAAGCATGGCGTGGCGGCAACATGTTGTCGGGGCCAATCGTTCTCTAGTGTTTTTGCTTTGCCTGCTTCGCTCATCTGACATCCTGATCCTCTGTTGTCTGACTATGTTGGGGCACTCTTTAATGGCTCTGCCAAGCTGAGAATTCCCAAAGCCTTGGCCTTTTACAATTCTGGAAGGAGAACGAAAAAGCCTTCCCGGGATGATTGTTGTGATTCACTTGGTTTTTTTTCCCCGTGTTTATGTTTGCTTTTATTCTGGCAATACTCAGTTAAGTCAAGGGGTAGCCCGCATAGACCCTGATCCTCTTAACTCGACTGTTAATGGCACTGGCAATCATTTGCTCAGGAAGAGTTCCCAGATCAACGCCTTAGCCTTCTGCTTTTGAAGGGAGGAAAAAGCTGCAGTCAGGTGCTAGAGTAATGCCAAGAACGTGGCTTGCTTGACCATTGTCGCTGTGGTGTTGGTCTCCAGTTGTGTGGCAATGCTCCAGGCCAGTCAGGGGGCAGAGTGCGAGTCAGGGCAGCGGTAGAGCTGTGAGTAGGCCTCGCAAAGGGACGCTCAGGAGATGCGAGTTATTGGCGGAGACCCTCCAAGCCATTTTAAAGGATTTCACACTTTGACCGATGTCTTCAACCTATCAAGACGTGGGGCGATGGATCAATCCATGAGACACGATCAACACAATATTGACATCTGCCAAACTGCTACCCGATTCAAGCTGGGCTCCCAGTTCATTCGCCCATCTCCCGGCCTTGTCCCTCCACACGACGCGTTTCAAGAACAGGTGTCGCAGCTCATGCGAGAGCACCTGGCAATGCACTCTGCGGCATGCACTTCCTCAATTGATTCGCTGGTCAAATCTCAGGTCTACATGACAACCAGGAGCGGTGCCTTTCTGAACCGTTTGCTTCCCCAGATCAGCAGCAAGGCGCACAGTTGAAACTCAAAAAGAAGAAATAATGAGAGGAAGTTCTGAAAAGAGCAACCAAAGCTGAGCAGCACTATCCGGCATGTCAGGATAACAGCTCAAGGACCTCGTGCAAAGTGACGATAAGCTTTCTGGACAGACCTTGTGGGCATTGCCTCACATGGATTTTGCAAGTGAACAGCACAAAATGCTCCCGGCCAGTTTCCCACCTGGCACACGCGCCACTCCACGTAGCGCGGGGAGAGGTCTCCAAAGCGTAGGTAGGGGCTCAGCATCGCTGTCCAGGCCTAACACCAACCAGGACTTTGGCCCGCAAGTCCTTCATTGTCATGCAACGTATCAAGATGGAATCGTTGTTGGGAAGTGCCCTCATGGGCAACGCACAATGCCAGCGGGCAACCAAGTTGCCAACTACCTCTGAGAATCTGGCCACTGCAAAGACTTTGCGCATTTCGTTTTTGCATCCCCAAAGGCAGAACGGCAACCCATCTTGCATCCAGACTCCATATCACAATTGTCAGACTTGGTCTGGGCTTTACTTTGAATCCTCTTCCTGGCCTTGTCTGCCCGGAATCGGCCGCCCACCTCATCCCGTGGGTGTAGCCCTGACCATCAGATGCAAGCTGCAGCACGCGGCCGCGGTGAATCCCTTGCACATATTTCTGGTTTCCTCCCTATCTTCTCTGATGCCCCCGCTGCCACGCAGCGGCGAGCTGTTGGAGGGCCTTGTGGGTTCTGCATTTCTTGTCAAAGGCCCCAAAGCTCCAGTTCCCAGCCTGGCGGGAAATAGCAGCCCCATGCCTCACGGGCTGGGTGCAAAGCCAAGCCGTCCCATTTGGAAAGCATGCAAACAGCGCTCCGAAGGAGCGAAAATCATTAATGGGCATGATGCTCTCCGCTTCAGGTGGCCCTGGTACCCCAGTTGCCTCTGAATCATCGGGAGACGTTTGCAACCTCCCCACACAGTTCAAGGACTGAAGTCTTGGCAGCTAGCCTCACTCAAGGAGATAAAATGTTTTTTTGCTTTTGTACCCTCACCAGTCCCGGCATTTTCAACCGGAAAGCATAAAATCCTCTACTTTGAACGAGCAGTTCACAGAGCTGAGGAGCCGCATCCTTCAGCCACTCCTCGAGGCGTCGCATGGCTGCGTGCTCGCCCATGGGCCAAAAGCTCCGCATCTCGTATGCCCAGTCGTCCTGGCGCGAAAGAACCAGCAGGCGGGTCAAACGGCCCCAAGAACCCCCCGCACGCTCAAAAGACGGAACATAGACCAGCTTGAGTTCAAGGCATACGCGTTCTTTGACTATGGCGAAGAGCTCGTCTTAGACAGTTGCCAGCCAGTGTCCATGTTTCTCAAGCCATGGCAAAATAGGTTTGAGTTCTGGGCTTGCCAGAGCAGTTAACCCTGATTCTTTGGCGCATGTTGCTACGCTGCGGTATACCCACCGGTATTCTTTGCGGGGGAATTGTGTGTGTGTGTGAACAAAGGGAGTCAAACCTATCCCGGAAATATTCGGAAACTTTGCGGAAGAGCATATTGCATTGGTCATCTTGAGGCATCCTCAGCGTTCCATCCATGTCCGGCTGGAACACACGTATGGGGCCAACATAGAACTTCACCTTTAACATGGCACCCGCTTTCCATCTTGGCTTCACAGGCCGCTCCTCTTTGGCAAGCACAAAGCCCTAACACAGACGTGAACAATTTCGTACTAGCAAGTCAGCCCTTAGCAGCCACCCATCGTCAGCTTTGCCTCCTTGGGATCGCCGCCCGTGTCGAGCATGGCCTGGCGTTTCTCGTTGAATTGCCGGAAGCCGGGGGGAATTCGACGGCCACCTGGCCCGGAGCCACGACACTCGGAATGCATGCCCCAAAAGGAATTCAGACACAACCGGCAACCGCTATGGCACAACCAATGAGTCTACTTTGAGGTCAAGCCTTTGTTCTGCAAACCTCAATTTGCCAAACTTCCCCCTTCTACACGCCCTATGTCTCACGGTTGTCCTTTAAGCCCTGTGCCCCCGCCTGTCCGCCCATAGCCCAGGGCTGCCAGTGGCATGGACCACGGCCACTCTGGCGGTCGGGGCAGGCGCCCCGTGAGCGTCGGCAGCGGCGCACGCCGCGGTCGGGGAGGGCCCTCACGCCGCGCCTGATGCGCAGCGGCCAAAACACGGCAAAATTGTGAAACGTTGTAGGCCAAGAAAATCACAAGGGAATGGGGTCTTTGTCAAGGGGCTGTGCTCATGTCGAATCTCAAAATGGTGGCCCTTGGTTTGACACAGCCTGATTTCCACCTGTGCTCGTTTGCGCAGCAAACTTTTACGGAGCCTTCCGTCCGCGTTGGCACGATCTGACGTGTTTGTAAAGGCTAGAGTGACGGATCTGCATATGCAATATGTGAGCTGTGAGACGTTATGTTTCTTCCTTGCAAGAAGCAGATCACGCATCTATGACCTTTGGGAAGTGAGTGAGTAGGCTCCATGGCAAAGCAACCAAAGAATTGCGGTGTCCTGAAAATTGCCTGCGACAAATGCGCAGACACCAAGGAATCCAGAATCCACACACCTAAAAATGGCTTGGTGCAAGCCCGCCTCCCAGGGCTCAAACTTCATGACCATGGCCGTGAAGGTCCGCACCTTCGGCAACCATCTTTGACCTCCCCAGATCCAAATGGCAAGGTCCCCTCATAAACTGCAACGCAACGCTCCCCGATCTCCGATCTGCCACCTCCAAGCCCAAACTCACCACTGCGGCTTCCAGGTCCAGATCCCGTTGGTGGTGCCAGGGCTCCAGCCTTAACCCAGCGGCAGGTTCTTTTCAAAGCGGCGCTGTGAGAACTGTCAGAACCGATCTTCCCACAAGCTCGAATGGTTACGCGCAGGAGATACATTATACGCCTATGACGAGAGACAAAGTGACTGACAGCAAGACGGAGACAAAGACAGAGGCCTCACGTCCCTTTCTTTCTTTTTCCCCTTTCTTTTTGCTTTCTTCTTTTTGCTTCCTTCTTTCTGCCTTCTTCTTTCCTCTTTCCTCTTTCCTCTTGTTCTTTCTCTTTCTCTTTATCTTTCTCTTGCTCTTTCTCGTTCTCTTTCTCTCTCTCTCTCTCTCTCTCTCTCTCTCTCTCTCTCTCTCTCCCTCCACTCCACTCCACTCCCCTCCCCTCCCCTCCCCTAAATTTTCCCCTCCCCTCCCCTCCCCTCCCCTCCCCTATCCTCCCCTACTCTCCCCTCCCCTCCCCTCCCTCCCTTCCGCCCCCTTTTGTTTCTTTCTTCTCTCTCGAGCGAGCGAGAGAGCGAGAGACTGAGAGAGCGAGAAAGCGAGAGGGGGCGAGAGAGGGACAGAGGGCGAGAGGGGGAGAGAGGAGAGAGAGGTAGACAGAGGTAGACAGAGAGAGAGAGAGAGAGAGAGAGAGAGAGAGAGAGAGAGAGAGAGAGAGAGAGAGAGAGAGAGAGAGAGAGAGAGAGAGAGAGAGAGAGCGAGAGAGCGAGAGAGCTGTCAAACTACATGCTTCACTTTGCACTCTTGTTGCATGTATGTTCACTACCGCAGGCCTTGAGCTTACTACTCCGCATGAGTCAAAAGGTTGGCAGCTGCAGACTACATTGGTTGACTGTTTGTTTGAACACTACAGCACTTGCACTTGTAAGCAAAGTAACAACCGATTTTAACGTGGTAGCGGAGCTGAGATCCTAAACATAGGGGAGCTCCAGTAAGCAGTAAGTACTACAACAACAGCAACAGCAGCTACATGCCAAACTACTACGACATGTCAGGAGAAGCAGCATCAGCCTCAGCACAACAAACTACAGGAGCAGAGAACGGGCCAACAGCAGACACAGTAGGAGCCACGACTACGGGAGCAGGAACAGAACAAGACAACGACGTTCAGAGACTACATAGATACAAACTGCCACCACCCTTCTTCACTGGTGACTACTCCCAGTATGAAGAATGGCTGTTCAAGCTACAAGCATACCTCGGCCTCATAGACCGAGACTTCGACCTGGTGCTACAACTAGCACAAGTGGCTACACGACAGATTGAGGACACAGACATCAGAACACACATACTCGACCCTACACAAGCAAGCAAAGCAGTAGACCTCTCCAGAGATCTACACTACATCCTCATCAACATCTGTCAGGGAGCAGCAGCTACAGTAGTAAGGCAAAACCGCTACAACGCAAACGGATGTGAAACACTACGACTACTACACAACAGGTTCAGCCTACCAGTAGGAACAAGGAGCGTTGGTTACCTTACCAAACTACTGGAACCCACATTCAACGAAGCGCAGTTTGAAGAACAATTTCTACAATGGGAATACGACATCAACCGCTACGAGAAAGACAATGGAACAGCACTACCAGATGGAATCAAAATAGCAATACTACTCAACAAAACCAAAGGAGCACTGCAGCAACACCTCCAACTGCGAGCTGGACAGATCACGAACTACATCGAGATCAGAGCACTCATCTTGGACTACTACAAGACGATTTCAGCCTTCACTAGATCTACTTCAGCAGTAGGAACAAACTACAATGGAGGAACTGCACCAATGGATGTTGACAACATATGGAGGAAAGGAAGAAGCTACAAAGGCAAAGGAAAAGGAAAAGGCGGCTACAAAGGAAGCAAGAGCAAAGGCAAGTACAGGAGTAAAGGACACTACAAAGGATTCGACAAAGGCAGCAAAGGAAACTACAACAAAGGAGGATACAACAAGAGCAAAGGAAAAGGCTACTCAGGATCCAAAGGATATGGATCAAGCAAAGGCTACAAAGGCCAAGGAAACTACAGCAAATCGAAAGGAAAAGGAAACAACAACTACACAACATGCCATCGATGTGGCAAGCCCGGCCACTGGGCACAAGACTGCAGAGTGCCGGTATGGCACATAGGAGAAGGAGAAGAACTACATCCACTAGAACAAGAACAAGCAGATCACGACAACAATGATGAACTACCTCAGGATGTGAACGACACTTGGGACTGGTACTACGAAGGAGAAGAAGGACAACACGAGGTGAACTACATGGAGGAGAACTGGAACGACTACGACTATGACAACAGCTGGGATTGGAATGACAACAGCTATGAGGACACAGCGAACTACATTGGAGGCATCAACGAGTCACACCTCACCATTGGACACATCAGACAAGCAAAATCACGACTACACAAGCACAAATCCAAATCACTACTTGGCAAGAGAACAACACACACAACATCATGGAATGACTACAGCAAGAGCTTTCAACAATTCCTACAAGAAGACACCACAAAGCTACACTTCGACATAGCAGCAGCAAGACAACAACAAAGGAACAAGAAGATTGAGGACACTATCACGCACTACATCATGCACTCCAACTTCAAGTCATACCACCACCTGTTGATCGACTCAGGAGCATCTACACATGTTTGCCCAAAGGACTACGCACCGGATCTTCCACTACGACCCTGTGGAGAATCAGTTCCACAACTCTACACGGTGACCAACAAGAAGATTCCAGTCTACGGCATCAAGTACGTTCCCTACAAGCAGGACAACTTCAGGATCATGATACCCTACTACGTTTGTGATGTGAAGTATCCAATCCTCAGCGCATCAAGACTACTTGATAGAGGATATGGACTTGACTTCACTCCACGACACTGCACCATCACACATGGACAACAACAAGCACACCTCATAAGACACTCAGGACTTTTCTACCTACGAGCAGAGAAGATCGACATTCCTACAGGATTCGACATCTACCCAATGACTACAGACAATGGAAAATCCATTGCTGTGATTCAACCTACAGAGAGAGCAGCACAACAACAAGAACAAATCGCACCACTCACACACACAGACCAAGGACTACGACAGATCCTTGGTGGAAACACTGACTACTGGAAACTTGATGGTGACTACGCCATCAGAGTACACAAACGACCACGCAAAGCACTGTTCACACCACACAACAGTGGCTGCCCAATACCAGAAGGAGAACTAGATGATTGGCGACTAACCATCATCAACAGACAAGGGCAAGAGCAAGAACAACTACAAGAGAACCCAACACAACTTTCCAAGCAAGAACTACAACGAAGACTAGAAGGTGACAGCTGGACTGGAGAAACCAGATTCAGAAGAAAGATAACACCTACACGCAGAGCAACATCAAAGACCACACCAACAAGGCAGAGCTCACACCCACAACGGCTAATGGACACACCACCAACCAGGTCAAAGATCCAACTACCAGCACCACAAAAGATATGGAGACCCAAAGCAGCACCTTCTACAAATCTTGACCCCACACAACCAAAGGAGACAATACACAGACCACTCACAGCACAGGAGGACAACCAAGACTACTGGGAAAGACAAGGTGAACATTGGATACGACACCACACAACGCTTAGAACAACTCTCTTCACTCCAACAGATGGACCAGGACAACCACCAATCAACACACTCGAACCTCACAGAAAGAACTACAATCACTCACAACAAGTTTGGAGAAGTTTCACAACGCAAAGATGACTGGACAGTCATGGGCAACGCAGCACTACCATTTCAATGGAAAGGAACAACAAGGTTCACCGTGAAGAAAGACTACGAGTACATCCAGGAGAACCACGATGAAGAACAACAACACGAGCATCATGAAGCACACAGAGCAAGAGGACTACGACAACCACAGCAGCCCACTCCACAACAAATAGCAGAACACAACCTTACACATCTACCATACAGAAACTGGTGTCCAATTTGCGTTCAAGGCAAAGGACGCCAAGACAACTACAAGAAACAACAATCACGACAACCTGTCATTCAAGTAGACTTTGCCTACATCAAGTCACAACAAGACCCAAAGACCACACCGGTACTGACAGCAGTTGATGTTACTACACAACTGTGTATGGCAGTATTGGTTCCAGACAAATCATCAATGATGGACTACATGGTCAACAACCTACAAGCATTCATCTTTGAGTGCGGAAGAACACAAGGCATACTACAAAGCGACAACGAAGACACACTCAACGCACTTCTAAAAGCTACAGCAGCAAAAGTCGGCACAATGAGTGTACGACATTCACCTTCCTACAGCAGCAACAGTCAAGGAAGCGTTGAGCGACTACATAGAACACTTCTCGGACAAATCCGCGTCGTCAAAGCTCAGGTTGAAAGCAACTACAGCATGACGATGTCCACAAAGCACTGTCTACTACCTTGGATAGTACGACATGCAGCATGGACGGTAAATCGCTACGTCATTCACTCAGACGGCTACACAAGCTTTGAACGCCGCTGGGGAAGAAACTACGAGCGAGCAATCTGCGAATTTGGCGAGACACTACTTTACCTTCCACCACAACACAAGAAACTTCCAAAAGCAGACCTACGGATGCAGAAATGCATCTGGCTCGGAAAAGTTTCCGAAACCGGAGAAAACTACGTCGCAACGGAATCAGGCGTACAAAAGGTACGAACAGTACGGAGACTACAACCGGACTTCAAATACGACCTCGCACTGTTGAACAAAGTTTCCGGCACACCATGGGCACCACGACGGAACACCTACAACCCATCGTTCGCAACACTGTTGGATACGCAACTACAACCGTCAGAGAAAAGAAGGTCCACGCAAGATTTCGGACAACAAACGAACGCTACGGACGACATCGTTGCGGAACCCGCAACAAAACAACAACGCACTACACCACCTCCACGACTTCCGTCCACATCGACGTCAAGTTCACGACCACTACCGGACAGTCCTATGGCTA